TTTACTCTCCTCGCCTCTGGTGTTTTTGCAGGGAGCTGATGCCGTCTACTCTGGAGGGACAGATCACAATGGAGAAGACGCCCAGCTATTTTGTGACAAACAGCGCGCCGAAGCGGATCCACTCGATGGCGAGGGACATTAAACTAATCATAGTCGTCCGCAATCCAGTGACCAGGGCCATTTCGGACTATACTCAGACGCTCTCCAAAAGGCCGGAGATCCCCACCTTCGAAGTGCTGGCGTTCAAGAACCGAACGCTGGGCCTGATCGACGCATCCTGGAGCGCGCTGCGAATAGGGATCTACGCACTTCACCTGGAGAGCTGGATGCAGTATTTCCCCCTCTCGCAGATGCACTTTGTCAGTGGAGAGCGGCTTATCGTTGATCCGGCCGGCGAGATGGCAAAGGTGCAGGATTTCCTGGGACTCAAGCGCATTGTTACCGACAAACATTTCTATTTTAATAAAACCAAGGGATTCCCGTGCTTGAAGAAGCCCGAGGACAGCAGTACCCCTCGGTGCCTCGGCAAGTCCAAGGGCAGAACTCACCCCAAAATAGAGCCCGAAGTCATTCGCAGACTGCATAAATTCTACAAGCCCTTTAAACATGATGTTCTACCAAATGACAGGGCAAAACTTTCAGTGGGAACTGGAGGAGGATGGCAATTCGCCTGGCTTTCGGGACTAAACCCCATGCTGCTCTCCGCACCACCAGCCTTCTCATAGCCGAACCCTCCCCGTCCCTCATCGTTGCCGTCTCTGAGAAAGTGTGTGTACCCATAGCAGAGTGCTAATCTGCTCTGTCAACCCACAATACCACTGGTGTTTATGATGACAAATGTTATTGTAGATATTATCCCTTACATAAATATATTTATATTTGTCAAGAGAAGAGGATTTTATTCATTTTTGTTGCTCTACGAATCATGTGTTCTATGATGACGATGCATGCGATGAGTTAAGTGTCCTTACCCAGCATCACCTGAGGGTTTTTATTTTTTAATCCTCTCTCTCTCTCTCTCTCTCTCTCTCTCTCTCTCTCTCTCTCTCTCTCTCTCCTCTCTCTCTCTCTCTCTCTCTCTCTCTCTCTCTCGCACACCAGCAGTGAGTGCAGTACAATTGACTCTGATAACCGAGGATCTTTGTGGATTCTGAAAACTAAAAAATACAATCAAATGCAGATCTTATAAAACACAGCTATCCTCTCGAATGAGAATGTTTCAGCTATTTCTGCCCAATGTTATGCATACCATTTATTTTGGGGCTACTAATAATTCAGACAGCTTGGTCCAAAAGCGTATGCAATTATTTTCAATTACATCATTTGGAATGTCAATTTTACTGCATATATTTTTACATTTTCAAATCTTAAAACTCTCCATTGGCATTATTTTTTTATTTTTTTTAGATATCATGCTTTTGGACCACTCTGTGTATTTAATAAATTAGCTACATGCAGTATTCCTAAATTTGATTAATTGCTCACTTACTGACATTCGAAAGTTTAGTGTTGTTTTGGGAAGAAGTGCATTAATCTCAGCAAGGCTGCATTTCTTTGATAGAAGATTACAGTAAACACCATTTTATGTAATATTATTGTAAAATTTCAGCATTATTCCTCCAGTCTTCAGTGTCATGTGATCAGAAATCATTCTAATATGCTGATTTGCTGCTCAAGAAACATGTATTATTATCAATGTTGAAAGCAATTGTGCTGCTTCATATTTTTGTGGAAACAGTGAACAGCATTTATTCAAAATACAAATATTTTGTAATATTTAAAATAACTTTACTGTTAAATTCGATCAATTTAATGTGTCCTTGCTGAATAAAAATAGTCATTTCTATCTTTTGAACGGGACAGTGTCCATGGTGAAAAAAAAAAAAAAATAGAAATTGACCTTGCTAATGCAGTATTATTCTTACTTTGGTCTATTAAAATGGTAATCATTCAGTACCATGGTAAACAGTATCAAGGTTATATACCGTATGCATAACATTACTAAACCAGAACTGCAGAATTATTTTCATTGTATGAGTGTGGATTCAATGGATGCCAGGTCACAGTGATATGTGAGTGATAGCAAAGAGTTCCTGAATCTAGTATTTTTTTTTATAATTTCTGACACTGTGGAACATTGTGTGTATCATTAATCACAACTTCATGCCATATCTCATGTGAGATGATCACAGCCACTAAAACTGTCATTATCACACTCGCTGCTTATTTCAGAAAAAAAATGTAGTGTCGCACATATGCCACATTCCTGTTTTTTTTTTTTGTTTTTTTTTTGTTTACGCAGCCGCTGGCATAGTGAAACAGCAACATGATAATGAGTGTAGCACCAATGCTTGCAGAGGGAGCAGCAGGGAGTTACCAAACATCTGCTATAACAAAGCCCTGTCATTATAGACAAATGGGACATTAAAATAGATTTCTGTGAAAATCATCAAGGAAGTAAGATTTTTAAATGTGCAACTTACCTGATTGATACATTTCAGGTTTATGTTTAAAAAAAAAAAAAAAAAAAAAAAAAAAAAACCTGTATGATTTTCTCTCTGGGATCGCTCGCTGCATTTATCTTGATTCCGTTTTTTTCCTAAAAGCCATGTTTTTCTCACAAATGTACTGACAATATAGTGGATTTTGATATATTTATTGAGCACTTGATTGGGAGAGACAAAAGTCCTTCAGTGTAAATCCGGCAATGTGTAAATCTTAATCATTCATACTGTAACTCAAAGCTATGTTGCTCAATTGCCCTCATCTCAGATGGTGTTGTCATACATTTAAATATTATGCAAAGCACTGTTGCATGACCTGTTCATGCCGAAGACTACTTTTTAATTTCACTGGATACTTTTTTATTTAGCAATCTAACCATGCGTTATGCTATATGCTTATTAAACCACACGTTTCCAAGTCTCAACTGGAAAAAAAAAAAAAAAAAGAGTGTTACTTGAATAGCAAGCAGCGATTAAATGAAACAGCCATTTGGATAATTTTAAGAAAAACATTAATTACATTTGTGCTGTGACATTTAAAGTAAACCCTCAGGATACAAAAAAAAAAAAATCTCAAGTCAATCTCATTGGCCTCACATTTAGAAATTTATTGATTACAAACATTCAGGCTATAATGAACTTAATTCACTTTGCAAGTTTACATATTCTAGCAGCAGAATTTATTTGTACAAAAAAATGTAGAAATGTGGTTTACTTGAATCTGGCTTGTTTGATAAGACAAATAACAGGGTGTTACTCTCCATTCAACATTGCTTTCGAATTCCCTCTTCATCCAGTCTTTTTGCCATGTCTCTGAACTATTTAACAACTTCGACAATCAATGCAGCCAATAAATCAATAAACACAGTCTTAATACACTTCCCTCAGTGTATCAGCCCCTCCCTCCGCACACCTCTCTGGCTTGTTGTATGTTCTCAGTGCTGAGGGTTTTTTTTTTATTTTGCCCGGGGGGAATGGCAGACCTGAGAGATAGTTACACAGAGCAATTGGTTCAATCAGAGTAAGCGATGTGCTGCCCTTTTATACCCCCCTGACTGAACACTGAAGCCTGAACCACACTATCCCAGGTCACCCTTTCTGCTTTGAGCCTCAGCCGTGCATCTTTCCCCCTGGTGCTCTGCTGAAAAGTGCTCTGATTTCAACTTTCTCTCTTCCAAACACACCTCCATTCAACGACGGATCTGTGGATTAAGACAGGTGGGACCCGACTGGCTGCTTTTTCTTTATCTTTTGTTCTGGTTTGTGCAAGCCAAGCAGTGCTAACTTGAAATGATGGTTTCCCAAACACTATGTCCTAACCAGGCACGATGCGGTAAACTGTATCCGCTCGCTTTATCACAACAAGTGACATTTTGAGGAAGGAATTAGTCCTAAAGCCTGGAAACGAGGTTTGCCCTTTTGGTTCCATCATTTTTAAAGTCAATGGAATTATTATGTTTTTTCTTTGCTTGAAATAAATCTGTTTAACACGAGCTCAAGATATTTTCACTTTTTATTCTATCAGTATGAATAATAAATTAGTAAAAGGTGGTAAGTGTCTAAATGGGTCTACAGAGGTGCATTTGACATTATCACGCCAGAGAGATAAAATCATCTACACTGTAAAAAAATATATATATATATTCAAGATTTGTTATCGCAACATTTTTTCTCTTGTCAAATCAACTTAAATAATTGATTTAATTCAGATAACTTATTATTTTGAGTTTCTGATGATTAAATCAGTCTCCTTCATTGTATTAACTCACTTTTTCCAGTTCAATCAACTTAAAATTTAAGGCAATTTTAAGTTATTGAATTTTTTACGTTAAACCAACAATATTTTTTTACAGTGTACTCACAGGTCCGTTTTTACAGCCTCTTGCAAATTATTATCACTCAAGCTTTCTAACTTGTGCATAATAAAGAAAAATAGAAAGAGTCACTGGAAACTTCCTTAAAGTCGTGCTAATCTTGAAGTTGTGCGACCGTTTTGTTCGGTTATAGTCGATTTTTTTTTTTTTTTTTAGTTCTGGGGATTGTATTTAGATTTCAAAATTCATAAAAGTTGTGTTCATTAGTGAAGTTTATCATGATGAACAAACCATAGCCCCTTTCACACAGAGATTCCGGAAAATACACGGATAATGTGACCCGGCATTTGTCCCGGGATTGTTTGATTTCGGTTCATTCACACTGCCAGTGATTTGCCGGGATCTGTGAGTGCATTCACACACAACCCTTAAAGATCCCGGAAAGACACATGACGTCAGGATGTGACGTTTAACGTACGCGTTATCTCAGCTTCAGCGCAGATAGTGAGGAGCAACAGAGTCGCACGATGGCACGAACGTCATCACTATGACACACACCTTACGGCATTGGTCCTTGCTTTCGTTCACACAGTGCGCGTTCCGGGACTGATCCCGGCAATGTTACTAGGTCCTCAACCCTGGATCGATGCCGGTATCAATCCTGCACTCTAAAAATGCTGAGTTGTTTTAACCCAATTTTGGGTCAAATAGGGACAAACTCAAACATTGGGTTAAAAATGTAATTTAAAAATGTTACCCAATGGCTGGGTTTGTCCATATTTGACCCAAAATTGGGTTAAAACAACCCAGCATTTTTTATAGTGTGAGTCGTGTTTGCGTTCACACAGAAGGCGTTCTGCCAATTTCCCGGGATCAACGCGTTGTGTGAGGGGGCTCATGTAAAGAATCATAATCGTTTTTTCTTCATAGAGCTTATTTTCTGCAACAGTCCTGCAAAATCCCATTGACTTTTTTTTTGAGGGAACCAAAGTGGTGTGAACTTCCGAGATGGCCGACAAAAATATGTCATCCCAGCGCCATCAAATAATACATCACAATGCATATCAGTTTATATACTGGTTAGGATATGGTATAAACCATAGTTTCATGAGGAGAATTATTCACCAGAAGGAGACTGCAATCAACACACTGTGAAGAAAAAAAAAATGAAGAGATGAGTATTTGGTGTGAACATACTCAAGGTTTGAATAAGCTGCAGCAGTGAATAGATTCTTGCAGATATTTTGGAATGTACAGCTTCATGAATATTCTATGTATTTGCACACTGATTAAGAAAACATTGATCAAGAAAGAAAAAAAAATCTGCTATGATGTAAATATCAGAAGTGTATAATGTACATATGCAGCTACGATTCTTTTTCAAACAGAAAATAAAAGTGAAACGAGAGCCACCAGGTCTCGGCCCTCCTGTATGTGTGTGTGTGAGAGTGGCTGTA